CTGAACTCTTCATCGCTGACAATTGAGACTCAAACCCGATGTAGAAATTCAGACTTTTAAAGAACAGCTGTCTTGTGATTTTGCATTATATAGAGGAAATATGTTAAATGTTTGGCAATACCTTTCTGTGGTCACTTTTATTTCTGATTAAGTGACGGACAGACGGCTACAAAGAAAAAGATGTGGTCTTGATTTAAAATAGTCATTTTGGTAGCAAACTGGACCCACCTGCTGATGCAGAGAGCACTTTTAAAGTTGTTTTGGTGAAATGGGTAAAACCAGCTTCACAGTGAAAACTGAAAAGTCTTTCTCTGTCACAGAAAATAAAACTGTATGCTTTCCAAACTGAAAAAGACTACATAATCATGTAATGTGATCTCCAGGATGCTTCAGGATTGTTTTACTCATTAAATTCCATAAAGAGTCCATGACACTGGGGAGGGCGCGTGGGATAGCACCTGCGCTATGAAGACATCCAGTTCTGATTTTTAAAAGGGGGAGAAATATGTTAGAAGAAAATTCTCTATTTTGCTGCTGATCTCTGCTTAGAAAGTGATCTTCTAAAGTCTACAGTAATGTTACATTTAATCAGGAGAAGACAGATAAATAAAGGACCTGGGGAGTTGCTTCTGACAAGTATTCGTGAACTGAAACAAGGGAAAAGACAACTAAAATCAAATACCTGATGTCAGTGCAAGAGCAATACCAATAAAAGCAAACTAAACATTTAGTTTGAAATCAATTCTGCTGAGCCAGTACTAACAACAGCTGCAATGCTAAGATTCCCTAGAAGAATGAGTTTTAAGACTCACGTATATTTTATTTGTTGATTTGATTTCTGACCTGAATCATTAAATTCTGGGAGGACTCTCCAAAGATTATCTTCTAAAGCCACCAGGCCACTGCTGGTATTTTCTGTTCAAAACAGTCTAAGGTGTTGTGGTTGTCTTCCCCTATAAAACAGCATTCTGAAAGATGCCTGATCATCAAAATATTTCTAGGATATTATAATAGCCTGTTCTGAAATAATTCTATCTAAGCTGTTGCAGTGGGACCTGGTATGCTAGGGTAAAACTATGACCACTGGTGGCACACTTCACAGATAGCAAATGGGGGTAAGGACATAAAACTTCATGAAGAATCTCTTTAAGAACTTAGAGATAAATAGGCAAAAAGTCTGTGGGGGATCACTCTGAAGTAAAAATCACAGTGGAATCATTCTCTTTGCCAAGCTGCTATGTCTGATATTATATAATATTGTTATAAAGTAGCTTGGTAGCCTTTTACTTTTTAAAATAATAATTTGCTTAAATCTCTTTTGTTTCCATCCTTGAGTATTGTAAATTGAGGGCAGGGGGAGAGTTTGACCACTCTAAAATCATTGCCGTATACAGAAGGCTATACCTTAATCCTACGCATATGTGTGCTACATGAAATCAGTTGACTTAACAATTAACACTTGACAGATTAAAATGCAGAAAAAAATTTCAAGAGATTTCCTCTAACACCAGAGTTTTTCAAATTTCCCCAGAAATTAGGATCTGGTCTAGAAATGTGCTAGCAAGTGTTTGAATAGCTCTCGGGAAAGGAATTGAGGATGATCAGTACTTCTTCTGGCACACCGAAGTCCTCTCCAGTACTGCAACAGCACCAAAACAAACTACTGTGTCCTTCATTTAACCTAATTAAGAAGTAGCATGTGAAATTATCAATGAAATTCTGCTGGCTGTGTGAGTCTTTCAAGCAAGCAAATAAAACTGTTGCACGAGCATACAGATCATGAGGGGTTTTCTTACAAAAAAAACCCAAGCAACCCAAAACCCAACAAAAGGTGGGGGTTTGTTTCTTTCATGGCATTTTTAGCCTTCAGCCTTAGTTCTTTAAGCTCTTCTTTCCAAACATAATTAATTTTTAATTTATTTTTAAGAAAAATTAATGATCTGACATATTAGGACTTCTTAAGTAGAAATAGGCAGGTTTACCATCGAATCGGACAGCATGTTTGAATTCAAGTGTTTTGTTAAGTGTAACCCCATTCGAAAGTTTTCTCACTGTTGGGTGTTCAGGACATCTCTTCTGTGTAGGGGTTCATGGATGTTCAGTAAAGCTCAGTTAAGCTCGACTCTCTCTCTCAGGACTACTTTGGTTTGGGAAACTTTTGCTGCACACAAAGAAAAACTGTTTTTGTCCTTGCAGAGTAAGATTATAAAGCCAATAGTTACTCAATGCACATGATACAGCTAAATAGTACAAGTGATAGGAGATTGGGAATGAAGATGCCAAATATTGACAGCAGTGAGGTTGGAAGCTGTTGGGTCTAATCAAGGTTATGTCACTGTCTCAGTGAGACATGTTAGACAACTGATCCATCTGTTCTTTCATGAATCACCTGGCACAAGCAATTATGATTAACTGCCTCAGAAGTATAACATGATGCTTATGTGGTGTCTGAGTAGTGGTTTAATTGGCTTGTAAAGGCAAGAAAGGGAAAGGAATTTAATTTAGCTAGAAGGATAGACTGGGATTTCTGCTTAATTGTAGAAATAGATCTTGGAAGACTGTCCTCAAATCAGAAGGAGAATCAGTGGGTTGCCAACACAGGTGACATTTGGGTTGACTGAGGTGGGAAAGCCAGTAAGTAGATGTTAAGGTCCCCTGCTTTTTACTGCACCAGGCAGTGACAGCTCCAGAACCATTGCATGTCTGCTGCAGGAGGTAAAAGATGGGACCTGGTCTCTCTGGCTGAACTGGGATGACTGATTTCCATCTCAGTCGTCCATGCTCATGGAAGCGGGACTTCAGAAGTGCAGAAGTTCCCTGTCTAGTCTGCGTGAAAATGCAAGTGAAAGCTCTACAAGGAGAACTTACCTTTGGTGCCCAAGATAAATGCATATTTATCTAGAAAGTCCAAAATCACATGCTTTTCTCTACAGACTGTATCAGACTTTAAGTACTCTCTTTTGGAGGACAACAACACTCTACACCTAATGTACAGATGCAGTTTAGGGAGCCAATGATTTTCCTGAAGTAATGACGAAAATCTTTCTACATGTACTAGCAGTTCCCTCAGCCTAACAGGCATCACTCTTCAGTTCTTCCTGCGGAGAGACTGACTTTAAACAATCTTATCAAATGTAGAAAATCCCTGTATGGTTAAACGTCTAAACTTGTCCCTTCTGAGAACCTACAACCAGCTGAAACAAGATGACTTGAACCTCTCAGGCTGAAAGAAAGTGTCTACTGTATAACATTTCATAAATTATTCCCTTTTGTGATTACAGTTTTAATACAAAAATGTTATCATGTTTTCATTCTGTTCAAAGTTCAGGGGAGAAACACATTTCTGAACTATCCTTTCAGATCAAAGATGTCAAACTTATTTTGGGGATGCAGTTTCAGTTTTAGAAAAATCAGTAGCATTTAATGTATTGAACCCATTATCAAGGTGGGATTAGATAGTGGTGTAAGCCTTTAAGAAATGATACAAAGAAGTATCTGTGTTGCCAGACCTTTCCAGAGCAGAACTGTGCAAAGCTGGCTGCTCACAGACACCTCTGCATGAATCATTCATCTTGTTGCAGTCCATTTTAAATAAATAATAAAATTCCTTTATATTATCACATCAGTCACTATACAGAACTTCCAGTTGCACAAACTTTTTATTAGACAAATTAAACACTACATATTAACTCTAACTGCAGTTACCCCCCACTGTGCATGACAAGCAGTTTTACATCTGGTAGCATCTGCACCATTCCATGAAAGTACCATTCCATGTCTGCTGTTACAGAAATGGCTTTCTTCGCTCATCAGAGAGAGACAGGTCTCTTTTTCTCTTAAAAAGACACATAACCATGCAAAATTAAATGTTGTGCAAACATTTATTCTTACAGAAAGTACCTTGCAGTGTCAGTTTTAAGTGATAGGGATATACTTATTTTTCTCTCAATTTCTTTCTTAAAAGTTTTTCACAAAATGCTCATATAAAAATTTTCAGTGTGGGTTTATTGGCCATGACCACAGCTTCACAGGGAAGCACCACTGAATGCCCATCCTATACTCCTCAGCAATGTAAACATCACATATTCATTTCCCTAATTTTCTTGCATATGCCATTGAAAGGCATGGAAAAAATTCCATCAGCACTTCAGTTACACCACCTCAAGCTTCTGGAGTTTCTTTCTGGGTTACCTGCAGAGAAATGCCTGTTTGTTGCAGTGGGTATGTGGCAAGCACCATTCTGTCACCATTCGTATGTGTAACTTTCTGTCTCACACATCTGCTTGATTGTCATTAGGCTGCAAGGTACACTTTTTAGAGCACAAATTGGTTTTCATTAGATTTTGCAGAAGGTGTGTTAGATATTGTCATCACAACAGGTCCTGTTATAGAGTTGAAGACTTCTGAGCCATAAAAATGTGGAGTAGCTTGTGACTTACAAGGGAATGTCAGCTGGGAATGAGGTGGTTGCTATTCTAGCACATGCTTCTCACAAGGACTGTCAGCCAAAATCCTGATACTCTCAGCCACAGCCTCTGCTAGATGGTGAAAAGCCTCAGACTACTGCAGCACAGGGTGAAGTGAACAAGTCCTTAAAGCCAACCCATATTTGACGTTCTGCTTCTTAAAGTGAAATAAGGGCTTTCAGAGCCCTGCAGTGATGAGGGACCCATGTTGAGAAAGGGCACCCTCTCCTGGCACAGCACCTACAGTCTGTGGTTTTAGTTTCTCCTTTCTATCCACGCGGGGCCCCTGTATTTCCTCCAGCAGCAAGTTGAAAGCTATTACATACAGGCTCATTTTTAAAATATGAGCTGAGCAAAATCATCTCCGTGTATTATTTTCCAGTTGCTCAGACTGAGGGATGGTGCCTTGCGTGAGAGCCACAGTCTCTGTGATTGAAATTCAACCAAAGAAGTCCTCCTCTGACACTTTGTTGTGCTAGAAATGTGTTGAGATCTGATGTGGCTCTGCTTTAATATCTCTGCTGTCTACCCCAGGTCTGAAAAATGCTGTGTACTTTTGCTGATGTGTGAACAGACTCGCTGAATGAAGGATGAGGCCAAAAGACTGTGGACCCTTGCATCCCTCACAGCAAACAAAAGGTATATGTAGGGAGAGAAAGAACTTGGGAAATAACTCACACCTCACTGCACTAGTCATGTGAATCAGCCACAACGGAAAAACCTTAGGAAAGTATATGAAGGGATAAGCAGAAGAGGAAAAAGCCATTGCAGCCTTCCCAGGTGACAGAATATTACACTAAAGCAAGAATGATCCATCCCCACACACTGCAGTGGTGAGATGCCCCCTCCTCCAAATAGTGTGTTTGTGTCACCTTTACCTCTCTACCTGTGTCGTCCAAAAAGATATTATTAGCTGAAAGGAAGATATAAGTGAAAGGATTCTGGAAATTTAGGAGGTACCAAGCAGTTCTCTCTGAGCTACAGGACAATATGTGGTAACAGCACTGTGAAAAGAGAAGACAAGCATTGTGAAGGAAGCAGCACCCTACTTTTCTGCAGACACTGAGGAATTTCTTCATGGATTCAGGTGGAGGTGGAGAAGGCCTTGCTCTTTCAACCAACCTAATAGGTGCCAATATTTTAAATGATAGGCTTCAGGTGCAAACTCCAAGAGCCTGAAAGCATCTCTCAGCATGCAACAGTCCGTTAATCTTGGGACAAAGAGGATCCTTTGGTTGCCTCCAGCCATTAATTGGAAGTTTGGAAATTTTTCTTTTTACACATCTCTATCCCAAGAGAAAAATTAGCTTACACCTCTTTCTCACAGAGATAAACCAGCAGAAAATGTAAAAGATGAGTGATGCTGTGCTAAGGGAATAAGGCAAAGAAAATGTTAAAAACTGAGAGCTTATTCCCAAAGAAACAATGTGAGCTCAGCCACGCAGAAAAATGTGCAAATACTACACTTAATTCACTCTAGACAATTTGTCATTTGTAATATTTTCTTTAGAGTTTGTGAAATCACAGACTCGGCGGGTAACCTGCTGCTATTTCTCTTGTGTAGCTGTTTACCTGGGGAGAGAATGGGAACACGGGCAAGGAGTTGTAGAAAGTTATTTAAAAATTATCTGGTACCCTCGAAGTTAACAACAAGGTGCTTGTGGTAGCAGTTTCCTCTTCTTTGTGTATTTCATTTAAGTCTCAAATATATGATAGTTAAATCTCAGAATTTCCTTTTATTTTTGCTTTTTCATAATGTTGATTTAATATTAATTTATAATACATGCAGTATAGAGAAAGCTGTGCACTCGTGTATGTAGGGGCAGAAGGTTGGAGGGCAATTTACTAAAATGATTAAGTGAAATAGACTCTTTAAGTCTTAGTGACTTTCAGGGGAGCTATATTTAAAGCTAGTATTTGCAAGAAAATTGATGGACAAAGCTTTTTGTGTGTAATGAAAACTGTGCACATTAGTGCTAACAAATATATGGCCAGAAATTTAGGAATAAGTTACCTTAATTTCTGGCTTTGAAAAACACCAGCAAAAACATGTAGTTCAATATACAGCATAGCTCCTTGTGAATTTGGCAAATAGCTGTGATGCAAATAAATAGAAAAAGGAGTCAGTCAGTAAATAAATTATCGAGTATGAAGTTTCGTTTCAGTGATTTAAGGATGAAATATTTTGGTTTCTTAATTTGTATCTTTTCAGTCAAAACTCTTTTTATGTCTAACTGAAAGGAAATATCTTGGTTTTGTTTTTTATCTTGAAGAAAAAGAAAAGGTTTTTTATTTCCTTGAATCTCTTATTTTCCCACTTATTTGGCAGACTAAAAAAATCTGTCGTTCACACATCCCATTAATTTTGCTATGATTTAATTTTTTTAATCCCTTCTCTTTTTCCCAATAGTTACACATCCTACATGAAAACTATAATCACTGCAGAAACAGAGTTATTCCAAGTAATTATACATGTCTCTTTTCTCACAAAAAATCTCCCCTCAGGCGTGTGAAAGTTAAGTGTAGGCCCTTAAGTTTCATTATGTACTTCTTAAAGTCTTACTGTTAATTTGGAGGTAAAATTAAGAACTGATCTCCTAAATCCTAACTACAATACCGATTTTTTTTCTATAGGCAAATCACTTGATCATCCCTCTGAGTCTTAATCAAGTAGATGTAAAGTATGGCCTGATGAGCTAATAAGAAGCTGAGACTATTTTTTAAAATTTTTGCTTCACTGCATTTAAAGATGAGAGTTAGGCTCCTAAATCATGTTGGTATCTTGCCACAATGGTAAAGTTGTTATAAAACAATCCAATATATTTTTTTGGAGAATTTTTAATAGAAGAGAAAAATCCACAAGAAAGAGCTACATTTTCCAATCATACTTTTTAATGGAATAACTTCAGTGAGAGCTCTGATGTTCCGTTTATTCTGGTGAGCTTTCTCTACAATCAGTGTTTTCAGTCTTTCACTGAGATCTTAGCTGTCAGAAAGGAACTGTCCTTCAGTGAATTTCCAAGAGCTATTTAGGAGAAATTTCAGGTTTCTTTCAAAATGTTCTTCTCTCTTATGTTTTGATTTCTGTGTATTCTGGATATACTGCAGTTGTCACAGAGATCAACACATGAATTGTGCACCTCTTGTCCCATACCTGCATGATTCAAGCTTTTATGTGTAGTAATTCTGGCTCAAGATGTTTCTTTCCTTTATATCTAGGTCTGGAAGATATCCACACATGGACTTCACCAGAAGTCAAGCAGCTGTGCAAGGATGGACACCTACCAGAAGAGCAATTCACCAGAAGAGTGCTTTTAGTCTTTTGGTTGCTTCAAGATACCTGCATTCTTTGTTCAAAGCTTCCCAAAAAATGGAGGCTTTTGTTACTGATTTGTTCTCCTCTACATGTACTACCTAATATCTTATGGTTTGAATACACAGCAAAAACTTCCTTTCGTTTTATTATCCATTAGAGGCAGGGACAAAATCTGATGTGCATTTAGGAACAAAGTGCAAAAGTGTTTAATCCAAAATACCTTACAAGCTTTCTGTCAGTAGACTTTTTCCAGTCACCTTTGACCTGATCCTGCACCTATTGGAAGAGGGACAAAGTAATACTAAACCCTAACACCTAATTTTCACAGTCTGTCTCATGAACTGGTGTTAAGATAATAAAAGGTAGATAAGAAAAGATCATAGAGAGTTTATCTTGTCCATTGTAATGTTGCAGTACAGGATCAGCTCTGTTCATGTCACTCTTCATAGCTTTTTCTCTAACATGCTCTGAAATGAGAAATAATCCTTAATTGATGCACACAGGCTATCCCAGTGCTTCAAAATCCCTTACTATTAAAATTTTCTCCTGTTATCCAACACGAATCTATTTTTCCTAATTTCAGTACATTCCTTCTTTTCCTGATCACAGGAATGTGAAAAAAGGTGAGGGGTTTTCCTCTCTGAAAAGAAATTTACGAGAACAAAATTTTGTGCTTGGAAATTTATACCATATTCCCACCTGAACTACTGGTCTTTAGACTAAACAATCCCAATTATAAAAGTCAAAAAGCTTTCTAAATCTCTCATCTTTCTTGTAACTCACTGGACTTCTTGCTTTAGCCCACATCTGACTTGAAATACAGTACCCAGAAAGGACAGAGTTTACAGTGGAGACTTTGTCAAGGCTGTCAAGACCAGAAGGACATATTCATGTGTCTTGAAAGTTATGATCCTATTGCTTTATCATGTTGTCAAATTTACCTTTCTAAAAGTGTGATATTTTCATCATGTTTAGTTATCCATTATAAATCCTAGTTTATAACTAGTTTTCTAGATCTTATATAGAATGTTATTCTTATTCATCAAAAATCATTCTGACATCTTATTTTTTCCTAAGTCCTTTTCTGCAATAGAGTCATACATAGAGTCTCATACACCTGACTACCTTTGGATACAATTTTTAAAGTCCCTTGACAAGTGCAATTGCAGCATGGGGAGTCCATGCGGTCATGTTAAGCCATCACAACACTGTCTTCTCACTGTTCTAACTGCTCCCTTTGATACACGTATTGTGAGGAGCTCAGCTTGATGGCACATCACGCTCTGCTTTCAAACATGTTTTCAAAGGGCCTGTTTTCACTGTAGCATCCTGGAAGAGACACACTTCAGAGTTGTTGCAAAGGCTTGTTGTAAGTATGGTCACTGTGAAAAAAGTCAGACTATTGCCTAACATTAGTTACATTAAAAGGGAATGCTGGATGAGCAAGGCTGCTGCTGAGCTTGTCCCGGTTCTCTTCGTCTTTGATCTGATTCAGAAGCATCAACTAAACCTCGCTGGTAATCCGGAAAATAGTGAACATAGTTCACTCTGCTTCAGAGAGAAGTAAACAAGGAATGCCTGAGCCTGCCTCTGCTGATCTTCATGCCAGCTTGAACAGTGATATGTCGGTTTGGGGAAGCAGCTCCAGCATGGAAAACACATTAATTTCCCCACTGTTCTTCCTTCAGTTTCACCTCTGCATCACACAGGTGAAAAGTGGCTCCTGATAACACCAGGGAGAGGGAGAGAAAAAGAAAATAAACCTGGACAGATACAGATTTGGGGTTTGCCCTAGTTTTAAAAACTACAGCAAAAAGCTTGCTATAGGTCAAGCTAAGAGAGAAGTATCGTACTCCCAGATAGTCAAAAAGTTGGGGAAAAAAAAATGAAGTTCGGTTAAAAAAAAAGTTTCCATTCTGAATATTTTACAAGTTTTAAAGTTAAAAGTAAGTTTGAGGGGGAAGAATTGTTTCAAGTGCATGGAAATGAACCATTTTAAGCTTTTAGAAACCGAGGAGGATTCCTCTTAAATGAAATCATTTCTTGAAAATGAGACACACTGCAAAAAAATGTTAGTGTCTCCAAATTGTCTTTCATCTCCCTCATCCAAATTGCCCATTGTAAAACTTCACTCACATCTTATAAAGAAGATAGTGAGTATAAGGAGTTAAACACAATAAGAAGTAAAAGTCTTTAGCAAATGGAAGGAGACTGATGTTTTGACTTTTATTCCCCAAATAAGGAAGAACGTAGAGTCCTTTGGGAAAAAAATGACTAATGTAGAAGGAGCAAAAGACTCTCTTTCCTGGAATAACAAAAATACACATATATTTTAATCTCTGTTCTGGCTTTCATAAAGCAACTACATGCTTTAGACTCTGGTGCTGTCAGCAAAAATTAATTTTAAAAGTAGCACACATGAGTGACTTCAGCCTTTGCCTTAATTTAGTTTTTCACTAAGAGCCGAGATAAGACGTAGCCACGCTGAAGAAGGATGGACGACTGTACACTATATTGTAGGAGACGACAGTGCTAAATTAATCATGTTCTATCTGGAATTTGTGATTCTTTCAGAGATGCTCAAGACAATATAAAAAATTTAGTGGTAACAGTGAAAGTAGGCAGGAGGTTGGGAGACAGAATGCTTCAGAGGGCACTTTAAATGTGAAAGATGCATTACAGTTTCTCACATATGAACAAGATAGCATGCCTTACTAAAAATATAATAAATGAAGAGTGTATTCTGCCAGATGCAGCTGTGAAGGGAGTGCTCTCCCAGTCAGATGTACCGAGCGTGATTGACATTCCCTTAGCTTTACTGTGATATGACTAAATATGAAAACGAACAGCCTCGGAACGATGTTTGCATTAGGAACAACATACCATTCTGTTACTCTCAGAAGCCCAGCAAGTATATCAGAAGTTTTGGTACACGTACTAGAGGAGTCAGTCTGTTTCTCAGTCATGATTTCACTTTTGATTTGCTTTCCTGCTTCTCCTCTGCTTTGCTTTTCTTTTTTCTTTTCATTTTCACTGCATTGTCTCATTGTTCACTTCTGCTACAAACATCAGGTGAATGAAAGGAGACATAAATTATCCTATTAGTGGCTTACTGCTGATAGTCTGCTGTAATTTGAATAAATCAGTGCATGCCTGGCTGCAATAGCAACAGAAGGTAGAGAAAGATGTGCAGGTTCCCTCTGCTTGGGTACCACTGCCATCCCTACAAGGGCTTTCAACACACACATGGGTTTTGTGAGCCTGCAAAGCTCCAAAAAGGGACCCTCTCCTTCCAGAAAGTAATATGTAAAAGAAAAACTCCTCTTGGAAATTAATAAGTGAGTTTCCATTTCCTTGCAAACATACCCACCAGTAGCAGGTTACAACCAGGTGTTGAAAGTTGCTCTGGGAGTTGTCACAGCAATCAAAGGCTCTTCAGGGGAGCCCCAAAGTCACTCCATTTCTGAGGGAAGACAAAATTGTTAGTGACTTGATCAAGATTAGTGAAAAAAAACGCTAAATAAGTTCCTCCTTTCCCATCTGAACACACTATTGATGCTTTAGACCTTGGGCCTCTGCTGAAGGTCTGTATGGGTTTTTGACTGTAGGGAGGCACCTTTCTTTCACTACATTGGTATCTTTGAATTTGGGGGTGAAAGGAAGTGGGGAAGATGCCAACTGTCCACCAGATAGCCCTCTACAGACCATTTTTAATCTTAATAAAGCAGACTGTAGTTATATAGGTGAATGTAAGGCTGTGATAACTGTGGGAAAGGCATGGGAGGAAAACTTGTGGAATAATTTCCCCAAACACAGAGAATGAATATACAGTTAAAGAGTTTCAATGGCAATGAACACCCAAGGAGCAGAGTGAGATAGTCATAGTGACAGTGCGAGTGAGGGATGCCCTGTGGCGTAAAGAAGCAGTTTCTGAAATCATTGCCTTGTGGTTTCAATTCTTCTTGTGTGTTCAGCTGCATCTTCCCATTTCTGGCTGCAAGTTCATCTTTTGGAATTGCACTGTTCTCTGAGATCACAACAAAAATTATACTTCTTGAGATCCAGTGGTCTTCAAAACAAGCAGTGCCCTAAAGGATAATTTTGGATCTCCAAATACCATCAAAAGAGAACATCTGGAATATATTGGATGGTTAAAAAGTATCTGTGACAGTGCATCAGTGCAAAGCAGCCGAAGTGTAAGGCTACCTCTAGGCTTTATTTTTCACGATATTATTTGTTATGGGAGACAATGTTACAAAAATAGTACTGTTAGAAAGGGCTAGTCTGAAAACCCTCTGTTTTTCACACTGACCACTTTTGGCTCTCTCTACAGCTGTGCTGCTTTCTGGGAAAGAACAACCTGAGACCCCACAGGGGAGTCTTTAACCTGCCAACAGCCCTGTAAGCAAATCATTTAAAGAGCAGAGCCAGGTGGCAAATGAAACTGCTGGGCAAACAAGTTGAGTCTGTCTTAAACTGCTGACTCACTTCTATCCAGGTTAGTTACAAGAGAAGACAATATTAAGTTACTGCTAGTGTCTCAAAAAATTCACTTTTGAGTTACCTGAAGCTGGTGATTGTAACCACTTGATACAGTGCTTATTAATAACTGTTTCATTACCATTGACTCATAATTTTTCAAAAATCAATTTATGTACAAAATTTCATTTAACTAATGGAATTCATTTAATTATAGAATACGAGGCATGTATGTTATTCTAAAAAATCTAATCATTTGTAACAGATTGCTAAAACTCACAAAATATCCCATTAGATATATTTTCATTACAGTGTTTACAGAGTAACTAATAAATCACTAAAATTCTTTCTTAAAGTATGAACACTGTAAGTGTTGTAAAGATAATCTTGCCCATAAGGTTCTCACCTGTTCCAAAAGGGATCTATATCTGTGCAAAATTAAACATATTGTCAGCTTCTAAGCAATTGTGTCCCAATAGCTTTGTCACCCTTCAGTTTTTAGAAATATTAATTTGATTTGAAGTATATTAATATTACTTTATAAGTTTTAGGTTTATAATAGATACAGTGGGTCCCAACCTAGCCAATTCATGAAGTAGAGCAGATGGTGGTAGTTTGTTTAAGCAATTTTTACTGCCTGTTCTAGCCTTGTTTTAAATGTCCTTCACATTATTATTTTCTAATTTCATACTATTATTACTAATTATATGATGTTGGCTTTTTTTTTGCTTAGCAGATAATTCACTCTGACACATGAGCTAATCACTTTTGTTACTATGAATTGCAAAAGTAATTATTTTTAAGCTAGAGCCTTTAGGTCTCTCCTTGTATAGTAAGTGAAGGTGTAATTGCAGCATGAATAAGCAGTAGCTATTTATGCTAGCTTTAATCTTGTCAGCAGGAGTAGCAGAAGTAGAGAAGCCATGACTGACTCCACATAACATGACCTGTACAAGCACACTTGAGACTCTGGGTTTCTCCTTCTGCACCAAGGTCTCTGCTATCACCATGTTGTTATCATTCTTAAAGACAGTGGTAGAGCACTGTAACACCACTGTG